TTGCGTGATTTCCCCTGTTTCATGTGTACTATATATACCCCCTCCTCACCCCGCCCCACCGCTCGTAGGAAAATGTCTGGGTGAAAACTGGAAAATGTGAGAAATTGGTAGGTAGCTATGAACGCGGGGGCCCACCCCCATACGATTATCGTCAAGCGTGGCTAAGTCTTCACACTGTTGACAGGATGACAGATGATGCAAAATAAGGTAATGCATGCATGAGATATCCCTTACCGTATACTGGGCTGACTTATAATGTTCTATCAAGTTTGCATTTAGATCTGGACCACGAAGCGCCGAGTTCTGCAGCGTTTACCGTCGAATGGACACGATTAACATGGTCCTTGTTGGCCGTCATTTCCAGGCTCAGCTCGCGGTTCATCGATCCGCGACATGTTGATCAAGATGAACAACAACTCACCAAACGCCTCAACATCAAACTCTTCGATCTCATCAACAAGGTAAGTGTTCTCTATGGGACGGAGGGGAGAGTACCTAAGCCAGACCCTATGACGCTACAGCTGTTCACTTGAACACAAAGGCAGTCAAAAGCGTCTACGTTCGAGAATAACGTAAGACTTGTTGAATTGAGCCTGAAGTGATTTTCTCGGAGTAGGCCCAAGTAGAACCAACACCGAATGAGAAGCAATTTCGTACTGTCAACTGTCACTATCGCGATTTCAGGCACGACCCGTCCGTCCGCCTCCCGGTATGCTGGAGAACGATTTCCGATGGGTACAGTTTTATAATGTAAGTTCTCAAACATTCTTTGACGAACGTAAATCATACAGCACTCCCTTCGCCGTGAAGGCTTAGTAGGGCCCACCATCGGGCCTCCTTTTTAGTGCGACTCTTCCTTCTAAAAAGAGAGGACGTGCCTATAACGAAGGTTTAGTGATTTAGTGACCCTGTCCTTATGAATGAAGTGGAGTGAGTCTTGAGAGTGGTGAATAGGATACGTCCTGCCGTTGGGGAAAATTTTTGCAAGTGATACCCCCCCCCCTGAAATTCCCTGAATGTCCTCTTCTAGTACAAACACTGTCCTCATCCTATCTATACCATCTTCCTGAATATTCTCAATTTCGCACCACCATTCTGGGGTTTCTTAACAATTAGAAGCAAAGAAAGGCAAACATTGGGAAAGGAATACACTCCAAAGCACAGATGATCCGTTTCGCTCGGTATCGCAAACGAAAACCACTCGGCTATCGCCCCGGCTTTCGGCGGCGATCCTCCTTCCAGCGTGTGAAGTGGGCTATCGCGGCAAGAGAATTCTCAAGTGAGGGCCATCGGATCGTTCCCCAAAACCGGTCTGCTACATTGTCACTCTCACGTCCTCATTCCTGAGGGTTATTGCGGATATGCCGTTTGAGGATTGTTGCAGTCCTCGCAACTGTGTACTTCGCGCGAGCAGCACGCCCATTGTGGGCGGAGCCTAGGTTATCCTGTGTTTACTCTGCAAGTGTTGGCCATATGCCACATCCATCTCACCCATAATCGGTTCCTTAAACGGTTCCCTAAACGTGAATTTTCACGTAGCCGCCGATTTTTGATGCTGGTCCACAGACCGATACACATACACAACACACACACACACACAAACTTCTGGTTTAATATATATAGATAGAGAGATCACAGACACGGGCAAGAGAACGGGTACAATTCAACAGCCGTAAACATTTTCTTCAAAAGGGAGTAGGATACTTTTTGCTGAGGATCCTCAACGTAAGATGTGCCCGTGTGGGACACCCCGAATTTATACCATATTGATGTTTTTAATGATCCCTAGAACTGTTTCAGTTACTGGTTCCTACGTTGACTACGCTACACGATCTGTACTCTCAACTCGATACATCCGTGCAGTCGTTGGATACGGCTATCGCAACATTCACTGAAGCTCAGGTTTGTCAGTTATTTCTACAGGAATCCAACCTTCATTTCACATTGCCATAAAAATGTCAGAGTTAGAAAGAGAATTACGTTTTCGCGGCGTTAGAAATTGGGCATAGCGGTCCGAGGGGGGAGGGGTGGTCGTGCGTGTTAGTACATAGAGTCCGAGGGTATCTTTTCTTGTGTTCAAACCGGAAATGCAAGGAGATCACGAAAACAAAACGGGTGCCAAAGCTCGAAAATGGGGGGGGAGGAGTTGACAGCGGGGCTCAGCGTTAATGGTGGAATAAATATTTTGAGAGCTCTTTTTGGAAGACTGCCAGAAGATGAAAAATCGTTTTTTTTGGTCTCTTGAAAACTTCGGATGGTTCAGCAATCCATTTCCGACTGAACGCTATCAAAGGCTTTCTATCATGAGATTAGACTAGTACATACTGATCTCAAGGCAGGGCGAGGCCGAGCTGCGATAATATAGCGGTCCAGACGAAAGACAGGCAGAGACGTAGGTATAAGGGAGGAGGTCGGATGGCAATAAGTAGCCGGGACACTCCGCATCCCATTAGATGGGTACCATACCTCACTCGTACCATTCTATCGCCAAAAAACAACTCATACTTCCGACCTCCTGCAAGGGGATGTCAGCTCCGGCAAAAAACGGGCTTTCCTACAGCGAGTAACGCTTTCAATCTTGCGAACATTTTCGCTAGGTGACATAGTCTCGATGGCTCCACGCTGTCTGAACGGCGGCTTCAGTGCTGTTCCTCACTGGCGCTTTTTACAGCTTCGGCCGTGCGTGGAGTCTTTCCGTGAGCTTTGTAGATCACATGCGACAACGATTTTCCCGTCGTTGAGAGCTGCTCAACTGGATCGAATGGCGAATTTCCGGGAAATCCCTGAAGAAAAACTGAGGCTCGCCACTCTATACTACACATCAATGCTGTATACACTAGGGATTCTCGCCTCAAGACTGCAGGTATGTTCATTTTTTGGCTATCTTGACGATCCATTTACTTTTCCTG